ATTAAGATCAATTAACGCATCATGTTTCGTAAAATAAATGACATTAGTAATTTTTATCATATCATTTTTCATAAGCTAATGTTGAATTTTTTCATAAACTTGTCTATTCAGAGGTGTTGACAAGAGATTTGAAAAAATCAAATGTAAAGGATGTAGTGTTGGGTAAACTCATTATCAAACTATCGACAAATGTAATTTCATCATCCAATCTTTCTGTAATAGATAATTTGAATTCTATGTCAAATCATACCCGTTCGAGTTCTACTGCACCATCATCCAACACAAATTCAGATCAGGAGGATGAAAATTCGCGGCCTTTGAATCCGTCTAATTCAACTTCTCCAGCAGCCAACTGGAGTGCTCCAAGCAAAGCTTCTGAAAGTAATCCAACGCGAGCATTTAGTTCCATTGAAGACAACTCACCATTGCCTCCTGGGTAAAGTTTTTTTTATTGTGCATCATCGATAAAATTCTGTAAATGCATGTTAAAATCATAAACCGATAATATTATGATTCATATATTGATAGCTGGGAACGTCGTTTAGTTCATCTTAAGCGTACATATTACGTTGACCATAATACACGAACTACCACATGGAAAAGACCATCGATGGATGCAACTGCAACTCAACTGCTGCAGGAACATCAAAACATAACGGAATTGGAACGTCGTAAATATAATAATCGCACACTTCCCGAAGAACATCCAACATGTTCCTCATCTACGCCGGGCAATGCATCATCAACATCCATTTCTTGTTCTGATGCTGAAGTATCTACAAGTATTACCAATATGCTATCCCCTGTAGGTAACAATAACAAATTATTGTACATAATACGTAATATGTATTTATCTTTTTATGCTTCAATTTAACTCATCTGATTTAATTAAGAACAAAGAACTACACTCGAACATAGACCGAATTTTATGGATAGCACATTATTCAACTTAGTGCCGATTTTGAATTTTATTATAATTCAAATGTATCAATACATTATATGTTTTTTTCAGAATGTTAAATACCTTTTTTCAGCTAAAACCGATGAAGCAACTGATGAGGACATTATTGTTGTAATAGATGACGTTAAAATTTTAGTGAAATCAATAAGAAAGGTATTCAATTTATGTAAAGTGCGTGAGATACTTCAAACAAATAGTATTCTAAACATGACAGATTCAATGTATTTTACAAAAAAAGATACATTAATTATTCCTGATAATGAAGATAAATATAGTTTATGTGACATTTTAGATGAAGATAAAACCTTTTTTGTTAAGAACCTTGAAGAGGATATAATTGTTGAGATTGATAATGTTAAAGTTTTAATGAAATTAAAAAAGAGATCAAGATTGGTTAAAGTACGAAAGGAACTTGGACATATAATTAATAATGACTTTTATTTTACGAAGAATGGTGCACTAGTTGACTGTAAAAATGAAGATAAATATATATTGAATGATATTATAGATGAAAATAAAATCTTTCTTGTTAAGGATCTTGAAGAGGAAATCGTTGCTGAAATTGATAACGTTAAAATCTTAGTGAAATTAAGTAAAATATCAAGATTGGATGAAGTGCGAAAAGAGCTTATGAAAAATGATATGATAAAAATTACTAATGTCATTTATTTTACGAAACATGATGCGTTAATTGATCTTAAT